AGTCACTGGCCTCAGCAGGAAAGCTGTGAAATGGACCCCAACTGGACAGCTGCTTATCAGCCACCAGTATGTACCACGGGAGGGGAACACAAGACTTTGGTGTTCAGTTAGTCATCTCCACCATACCATGGGGTAAAGTCTTATCCTCCTTTCCAGTTGGCTATTCCCATTGAAACTGTCCCCAGTCTATGTGGAATTAATCCTTCCTTCCTCTATACTCCCATTGTGCTCGCTGTCCCTCTACTATAGTCCTTGTTAGGATCTACCTTTCATGATTTATCTCCACAATTTTGCCCATCACTTGGCATCCTCTTGGAGGGCTCTGAGGTCTGGCCATGTTGGATCCTGGTATTTGGCACACAACATGGTCTCCATAAATGTTGGCTGAACTCACCATGGTAGAGACACACAGTGACCACCAACTCCTCCTCTTGGACACATCACTTCTCTACACCTCCTCCTCTCAGACACACCACCTGTCTGCACTCCTCAGTTGCCCCACAGTGAGCTGAGGCCATGTGACTTGTCTTGCCAATGCAACATGAACCACAGCCCCAATGGCAACCTCCAGGCTGATGCAGTAAGGACTGACTATCCCTCCTGATATTCTAGGTCTCTTTCCCCTCACCTGCCAGCTGGTTGTGGAGGCTCCAAGGTCAGTGGAGCATCCATGGTCTAACAAGCAGAGTCTGTGTCCTGAATACTTGGTGGAACCTAGTCCCTCTGCTGACCTCACTGCTGAGATCGAGCACTGTTTCCTAAATAAGTTAGCCTGACCCAACTACCCACTCACACCGTGGGAACCCAGCCACTAAACTCAGAAAGGACAACCAGTTATCTGTCTTTCTGCCATCTTTCCTTACTTGCCACTAAGTGCCTACAGGATGACATCAGGCCCACACTGGTGTGTGATTGCCAGCGTCCAGGTAAAGAGAGTTTTCAAGGTATAAGTTCAATTGTGATTTTGTAGCTAAATTTGATAATGATTCCACTGAGTCTTAAATGTTATGTATTTCTTCTGTATTTCATTCCACTATAAGCTCTTAAAAGTCAGGCACTAATTCTTGCTCCATATCCTGGGTATATAAGCTATTCATTCATTTAGTCAATATTTACTGAGTACCCACTCTGTGTCATTCATTCTTGGGGGCAGCAGAAACAGAGCAGTGAATTGAATGGAACAAGTCCCTATCCTCAATGAGTGAGACAGATAATAAACAAATAAATGTGATTGTTGAAAAGCAGGAACAGACATCCCCTCATATAGCATCAGCTCCTAATACAAGAGGATCTTCATATTTATTTGGGTCAGTAATTGATGACTGCCTCACTCTCAGAGCTGTGAGGCCCATGAGGCTGGGGCACCCTTCTACCCCTGGCATCTAATACAGTGCTGGCCCAGAATAAACACTCCATAAATAGCTATTGAACCAAAAAAGTGAATAACAACGACTACAGCTACTATCTGCTGAGAGTCCATTATTTTCCAGGTACCACGCGAGATGCTTGCCTGCACTACCTCATTTAATCCTTACACCGTCCCTGCAAAGGAGTTATGATTACCTCTGATTTACCTGGAAGGGAACTGGGGCTCAGAGAGGTTACGTGACCAGCAGTAAGTGACAGACCTGACACTAGAATCCACACGCTTTCCTCAGGACCACACTGCCACACAAAACAACAACAAGGGCTTGTTCTACATTCCACATAATCCTCAACAGTGAAGAGCGACCACTAAAGGCCACTATTCCTGTGAGCTAGACAATTCATCCCCCTCTGCAATGTGAGCTGGTCAGCCCGGGCCGCCTTCCTCAGCAGATGGAAGATGGGCGCGAATGGTAATTACAGACTGTGTTGTCCTTTTCATTTATGTCTTCACAATCCAGCTTGACATCACGTCATAAAAGTTTATGTACTGTGTTCTCTCCGCTCCTTACTAATATTCTCTGGCGTTCTCCCCGGCCATCCAGAATCAATACCATCTCTCCTCTCTCAATAAAGTAGGGAGCTGTGAACAAGGCCCAAATGGGCACAGTGACGATTTGTGGCAATTAGACGTCATGCTGAAAAATGGCCACACTGAGGGAGAGTGGGAAAGATCCAAGGACCAGCACACCATGAATGTACCCCACCAGGGACCCCAGAAATCGGACTGCTTAAAAATACCCTCTATCCTCTCACTGCTTCTCTTACCCTCTCTGCCTCTTTCTTTCTCACAAGAGATAAGGAGAGAGAAGTGCATTCAAATTAGGGACCCCAGCAATCAATTTTTACTTGCAGTTGGTGGACTGTAATCAATGTTAATTAACCAGATTCTTTTTCAGCAAAGGTTGGGACAGGAGAGTAACTGCACAATACTTTTGACCACAACAACGGATATTAATGGGCTTAGGGATGGCCAGAGGGCCGGAAAGAGGAGGGCCGGAAAGAGGAGGGCCGCGCTGCGATGCCCCGCAGAAGAGTACGCATGCGCAGGAAGACGAGCGACTGGGCCGATTACAAAGTGGTTCTCTCCGCGGGCCCTGGTAGCGTTTTTTGGAAGCTGGCGTGGGGAAGCTCAGCCATTTGCACTTTCTTCACCAAAGAGTGGACTTTCTCCCCCAGGAAAAGCGGTCTTCATCAGGGGACGATTCCTACAGTGTCAGCTAGGTCACAGGCAGCCAAGCACCATCCCATGATGCTATCACTCAAGAGCATTGCTCACACCTGGACCATGTGGCTCAGTGGGAAAAGCAAAGAATTTAGCACCAGAAGGTCGGTTGGAGCCTTAGGTAGTGCTTCCTGGCTCTGGAACTGTGGTCAAGTTACATAACATCCAGACCCTCAACTCACCTACCTGATTACAGCAACTGACCTTCTCCTGGGCATTGATGCAAGACTCACATATGATTCTGCACAGAGGCACATTATAACATGCTACAGGAATGTCAGCAGCTACTATTGTAAGTCACAAGGACAAAGCCCTGGAGCCTCTGATCTCAACCAGCCGGTATGCAAGATGGGACCCAAGGTTCCTTTCTAATCTCAACCCATCTCTAATGATGTAGGAAGTTGCCTTGGCAGTTATCCATGCCAATTTTTTATTTAAAAGATTATTACCTATTTCTAAACATAAGTGTCGCATTGGAAAGAAGACCCTCCCCCCCCACCGCCAAATATGCCAATGCTATTTTTCAATAGCCCAGAGAAAGTAAAAGGAAGTTATAACAGTTGGAAACATGACAGAGCTGCCAAAAACAAAACCAAAAGCTGTATCTGTTTTGAAACAGTGAACGCCTTACAAATTTTCAGTAAAGACAGAGAACAGAACCAAAGAAGCCTTTGGGCTCCATGTCCTGAAAAGACTCACCACAACCAGCTTCTTGGAGTTTCCTCCACACCATTTTAGTCAAATGGTGACTCTACCTTCAAAAGAAGCTTTCAAAACCTTCAGTCAAGAGAATAGCACCAATATTTCTCATGCCTTTCAAGTCCCCTGGGAGTGAGGGAGAATACTGGGGAACATGATTAGCAGGTCATATTACCCTGAGAGAAAAAGATTCCTGAGTGCCCTAGGTGGCCCCCTGGCCTCCGGAATATGGAAGTCCCAGCTGTGGTGATATACACTAGCTCTCCTTTCCAAGGTACCTGTAGGAGTCTTCCATGTAAGGAAGATGAATGAAAGGACAGTAGGCTAGGAGAGAGAGGAGGAAAGAAGAGACAGGAGCAGAGCAGGTTGTCAAAGATTCATGGGTTCAATAAGCAGTGGTGAGCCTACGCCATGAGAGAGCCTCCACCCCCGCATGCCCAGCTCACTCTGGAGACCCAGAGGGAAACACCATCTCTGCTCTTAAGTTGCTTACAGGACCCAGGCTTGGCTGGAGGGAGGCAAATTCACAGATAATCACCACATAAGGCATGGGGAGCAGGGCACAGAGGAGAGGTGTGTTCCCCTCTGGGGTTACAGGGGGTGAGGAAAGGAGTCTCTAAGGAAAGGATGTTATCAGTGAAAAGAAGGACAAAAGAACAGAAGGGAGGATGAACTGAGGAAACAGAGAGGGAGGGAAAATCAGGAGACAGCAGGGGAAAAAATTATTACCTCACCCCAGGATTTATATACTAAGCTCATATGCAAATCTTGTCTCATTGATCTGTGATTTCAGTGAATAAAGCTGCCTTTTCTGGAGCTATTGATTGTGAAGCAAGCTGAGAAGGCCAGGGCAGTCCTGCAGAGACCTGGGGAGTGAGCTCACAGTGGGTGGGCCTTGCACTTAATTAGAGAAAAGCAATTGCTCAGAGTGATGAAGGTTCATCCTTGAGGGAGGAAGTATTTTTAATAGCACCTCCTTCCCCAATACAAAAACATCCCAGTTCCACAAGCCCGGCCTTGTCCGCCGCCCAGAGCCCTACAATAGGGGCCCCTCTTAGCCTGGTCTAAGGGTAGGGAGCCTCCTCTGCTCACAGGAGCACCATGTAGAAGCACACCCTATTCCCCCCAACTATTCAGATCTGCCCATGCACAAGGCTTGGCCCCTCCTGGCTCTCTGTTGAATCCCACTGGTTTCTGGGGAAAGAGGAAGTCAGCCTGACTTTGGAGACGAGAGACATCAGTTTTGGATGCACTCCAACAAGCAACTGGAAGATACCAGGGGCCGAGAGTTCATCCTGGGGCCAGAACCTGGGGGCCTTTCTACAGGAGCACTGAAGCTGCTGACGTTGGCCAGCCCAGAGGGAGAAGATATGGAAAGAGAAGAGGGCTCAGGGCTCAGCTTGGGAAGATGATACATTCAAGGGCTGGGAGAGAAAGAGGGATCTGGGAGATGAGGACAGCAGGGCAAGGGAAAGCAAGAAAAGGAGATCATGAAGGGACACAGGAGAGGAGAGAGATCTGGACACTTTAGAGTGGAGTAAGAACCAGATGGTAACAAATGTGTTCCGTGCTTATCCTGACTCAGGTTCACAAAGCGCCTCTTCATTAGGCGTTATAGCAGGACCCGTGAGTATAAGAGAGCAAAGCTTACCTGCCCTCATGATGCTGGCAGTCTCCCGGGGAAGGCAGAGGATGTGTGGCAGGCAGGGCTTCTCAAATTCTGTGGTAGAGGACCAGTTGTTATTGCTTTCTTGCTTATCTATCCATTGTGGATAGATAGCATGTTGTGTCAATGTCAAGTTGCTATAAACATTTGCAAACTTGTATTTCCATATTTATCTACTCACAGACTGGATTGCCTACAACATCTTGAGTAGCTTAGATGACAGAGATGCTGAATGCCTATCAAACAGCTCCTCTCTCCTTCTACCTTACCCAAGGCATCCAGCGTTTTTATGGATGCTAAGAAACTACATTTACCAGCTAAGGATAGGCAAGTAGATGTCTTTTGGTAGAACTTACGGGAAAGTTTCATGAAGGGGACTGACTCATCTGGGAGACATTCCCTTTGGTTCCTGCCCCTTTCATGGATGTGATGGCTGGCATTCCAACAACCATCTTGGAACCATGAGGCAACACTAAGGGTATTGGGACAAAGAGCTTTAAGGACCTGGGTCCCTGCTAAGCATAAAGCTACCACATCAACTCTGGACAGCCTATCTCTAAATTTCTTGTTACATGAAAGAAAAGCTTTTATCCGGTTTAAGCCACTGGGACAACCATCAAGTACATTTTTCATCTGTCTCATGAGTTAACAGGCACTGATCATGTGGGGCGGTAAATACTATCATCACAACAATTAGAAAAATTCAGTTAAATTGTCTCTAACACAGCTTGGAGGGAGGGTTTGCCTCTGAAAGAGGCAACAACAGAATGAAAGCCTGAAAGAGGACAGGAGTTAACTAGGGAAAAGGGTTTATGGGGGAAAGAGTTTTCCACGCCAAAAGAACACACCTAGTTTATGAAAAAGACCAGCAGGTGAGAGGGAGTGGGGCCATAAAAGGACTCAGAGTAGTTTACTGTGGCTGGAACAAAAGTGTGAAGAGGGAGTGGGAAGGGAAAAAACAGCAGGAGCTGCCAAGGAGTGGGAGGTGGTTGTCCACATGAAGGAAGCAGACACCTGACCTTCTAGAACTCTCTGTCCCAACCAAACTCAGAATCGTACAAACAATAGTGTTCCCTGCTAGAAATCAGCTAGCAGACATTGGCTTTGGTCTCATCTCTGAGGAGGGAAATCAGGTTCGGTTTAGCCAAGTCACTCACCTTTTGGCTTTCTGTTTCCAGATCCACAAAACAAGCCTCATGCCACTGTCCCATCAGCATCACTAGTGCTCTGTGAACAAGAGGTTGTGAGATCTTACCGACAAGGAACATAAAGACTCCACATTCAGCCCTCCCATTTTACTGATTAGAAGTCTGAGGCCCGCAGAAGTCACCCCACCTAGAAGGGGAGGGCTGAGCCTGGAATTTTCATCTCCCAGCTCTCAGGCTGTTATTCTTTTCCTGCAAAGAGCTGAGTGTTTTGCACTTGAAGTAGATAGTTATTGTTCCTGCCAAAGGGAACACAGCAGAGCAAGATGATAGAGTTTCTTATTTCAGGAAACCTAGTACTTGAAGGTGCTTTGAATAACACATACTTTTGAAACTAACTAAATATTTGGAGTGTGTCTTCCCATCCTTCTTTTCTGCTCTAAAAGCAAAAACAAGTCTCTGTAATTGGGTGAGGGGTTGGGGAATGTGTGTTGAAATAGATAAAAGGGAAAATTTAACTCAGTAACCACAGATGTGAAAGTGCCTTGAAATATTTAGACCAGATTCACATCTTTGGAGGTAACTCAAGTTTCCACTGAATCACTGAGAAAACATAGCCAACCCCCTTCAGTGACTTCACAGTTGCTCTCTGAAAAGGTCATTGTAATCCACCCTCTTCATTCCATAAACGAACAACTTCTTAGAGTCCTGTTGGGATGACCATTTTGGGGGGGACTACAGAGAAAGTTCATAACCAAAAGAAGTGATATTACAGTAGTAACTGTTACTTATGGAAAGTTTGCCTGTTCTTTCGCTGAGTGCTTATCCTAACCCTGAGGTACAGGAATTGTTGTCCCCATTTTTTAGATAAAGAAGCTGTGCCTCCTGACCACCTTCACATCCAGTCACCAGCCCTGCTCAATCATCTTTCATGACATCTCTCTTGTGTGTCATAGCTTTCTCAGTGTTTCCTGGAACTCTGATGCTTCTCCTCTCTGGTAGTCCCCATCCAGCCGACATCTTCCATTCCCAGACAGATGTGGGATATTTCTTTTTAGGTATCATGGCATCGCTGCAAACTCAAAATGCCTAAACTGCCAGAAATTTTATTCTCTTGCAAACTCACCCTTCATCTTAGCTTTTTATTGTGAGTCAGTTGCCCAAGATGGAGACCACAAAATCTACACTTCACCCAAGAGGTCTATCCACAGGCCCCCGAGTACACCTTGTGGTTTCCAACCTTGCCCATGCCATTCCCTCCTCCAGGCTCTACTAAAATTCCACCATTTCTCTGAAATCTTCCCTGATCTTCCAAAGAAGTTGGTTTAAAAAGTGCAGAAAAATAAGTGAACAAGGGTGTCCACTACAACATTGTTTCTAATGGAGTAGAAAATCTCAGAGAGAGCAACAAAGATCTATTAAACAGCACAGAGAAATATAGCCATTATTTTATAATAACTTTAAATTGAGTATAATCTATAAATATATTGAATCACTATGTTGTACACCTAAAACTAATATACTGCAAATCAACTATACTTCAGTTAAAGAAAAACTCAGAGAACTGAGTCCAACTGTCAAGAAGAGACATTATGATAGACACAAACAATGGAAGAGAACACAGCTAGTGAGAAATAAAACAAAGATCTCATAACTATACATACTGACAGAGGTTAAAGAACAGTATGTATAATATAATCCCACTATGTAAAAATACATGTTTCTATATACATAATTCTGAAAGACTCAACAAAATTCTTAACAGTGTCTATCTCTGGGATTAGAGATGAAGCAGAAATTTCACCCTCTCCTCTAAATACATTTCTAATTTATATTAATTTTTATGGCAGTGAATTACTTTTATAATTTTTTTCCATTTTGAAAAAAGTGGGTTTTTTTCTTTTTTTCATTGTTCATAGTCCATGGTATATTGGAGGGTCTGAATATGTCTTACACATGTTTTATTCCCGAGGACATGTAGCACAGTGTCTCACATGTCAAGTTTTCTTAAGTTGGGGTATTTTCATTGGTCATACAGCACTTGCCACAGGAGATTCAACTTAAAAGCCCCACTCTCTGGTGTTGCCTCATACATACTATGGATGCTGTAGACACCTAAACACACACGTAATTCACCACCATCTTCACATACCTGAGTGGAAACTAAGTAAGGTGAAGAATTCATAACCATTCTTCATAAGGAAAACCTGTTCATCAGATTTGGAGGGAAGAGCTAGACCACTCAGATACATAAAACAAGGAGGAAAAAAATGAGGACAAATTTGCTGATTTTTACTCAATCTCTGCTTTCTTTTAGTTTTAAGGTTTTAAAGTGTTTTCTCCAGGAGATATCATGTTATAGCCAGAGTCAAAATCCATCCCCAAGATAGGAGAAACTCTGCTTAAAGTGGCACTGAAAAATGGGAATGTATAGGTCCATATATTTACCTCTCCCTGGTTGGTTGTTTGCTGGGAGTCGGTGTAAATAATTTAAACCGCTGAGCTGTATTTCTGATTCTCAGTCATGCGGCAAGGTGTGAAACCCAAGCAGCCAGAGCACCTTGTCAGAGGACCTTCTACAGGACAGAAAAGAGGGTGCCAAGTGCCCTCTCAGCACACAGTAGCTGCGACCGCAGGCTTCTTTAGAGACCCAGAGGGACATACCCAAGAAACAGAACTTCAAAAATGGAAATGTTTGGTAGACTGAAAAAGAAAACTAGACTTCATAACTACTCGCAGATAATAGCAAAGTAGTCTCATTGGCTAAACAAGGATATCAGTGTGTGCTGTTATTTCCAAAAACAGCCCAGTACGCCAAAAGATACTTTTAAACGTCAGTTCCATCTCCACCACACTAGCCCTTGAGAGACCGAAGTTCACCAAAATCTCCTTGTGGAATTGTGATCTGTGAGAAGACAATACTTTAATATTCCCACTAGTCACAAAGGCTTCATTGATGACAACTCTATGCCTATAGGGTATAGGGCAAAGAGGAAGAAGGTGAGAACTTTGCTATCAAGGAACTGAGACAAACATGGAAGAGTGCATGATGATGAACTCCCGTAGGAAGTAATGTTGTGCAAGGTTTCAGGGGGCTAGTCCATCAGGGAGTTATTAGATGCCTCTATGAGTCCTACAAATGTTGAGGACCATATGAGATACCAAAGAAACATGAGATGGGACTCAGATGCTGTTCTCCAGAATCTTCACATCTTCTTGGGGAGGGCAAGACTTTCAATGGGAAACAATGTAAGAACCGCAGTAGAGCATAAAACATTAAATTATGTGGTATAAAGATAAGTGACAAATTGAGGGTTAAGAAAAAAAGCAGTTGAAGACATCAATTCACTTCACTTCAATTCGACATTTTTGGAACTCCTTATTATGTAATAGGCATTAGGTAGACACTTGGGAGAGGAAAATAATAGGACAATTTGGGACAAAATGATTTCCTTCCCCAGACGAACTTACAGTTTA